TACATCCTACAACAAAGAGTACCGATTCATCTGAATGAATAGAATTCATTAAGTATTTGAATCGATTGTGACAATGTGAAAAAGCGATCTTAATAGTAAAACTACAATATTGGCCAGAATAATCATTTACTAAAACTTGAATATAGCATTCCCATTATTAACTTCTTTTGGAGCATCTTGAATGACACCTATCAATGAAGTTTTCAATAGATATCTATTCGAACCAGGATCTCTTTTAATCGTAAGATGTGTTGATGATGCGACCATCATCTAAGTTCAATGAATATTAGTAATAATATATTAAATTATTTTGCTAAATTTATGATAAATTCACCTTTAATCTTAATTTATTATTGTAGTTCCCTGGTACAACTTTTCCACAAACACTATAATATTCGTTTTTCGCAAAAATGGATTGGACATTAGGGTCTCTTTCATCTTCGTTTAATGGAACAAAAAGGACATTTCCATTTCACAATCTTCACTGTCAACCGGGTAAGCACCTATTGCCCATATGACGGTTAATTTCATTTCATCTTTATCTGTTTGACGAACTTGACTTATTTTTACGATTGTATCGATACAGCATGGCATTGTAAGTTGATGACAATAATAAAAAAAGCTAATTAGCTCTTTTATTTGTTTTGCGATTGCAACATATTACGTAATACGTATAATATCATTCAAGTTTTTTTTATTCGATATAAATACAATTGCTAATATGATATATAATTTTATTTAATATATATACCAAATTTTCCCAAGAAATTTCTTGTGAGAAATTATCTTCATGCAAAGCAAACGATATCATATGAACTTTATATCTCATACTAAATCTAATATGTAAATATGCTGATACATCTAATTTTCTCATACGCATAATTCACATAAATTTATTATCAATAAAAATCAATAACTATAAACGGAAGATCTAATTTATTGAATTAGAATGCACATACATAATTAAGAAATCGAATTTCCACGTATTTATTCAAAGAATCTAACTAACCATTATGGAATATCCCATATACATATTTTTTTGGATGTTGATTATTTTGGCCCTGTGCGACTCATATACTGCGTGTTCTTTTTATTACTAATTATAGTGCCGTAAATAGTAATGATATATCGTGAGAAAGAAT